TAGCAGGGATTTGAGGTAAGAAGTCCCCCAGAATCCCTTCGCAGCCCACTGGCAGAGATCAGTCCAGTGTCTTCTCCCTGGCTGCCTTAGTGCCCCCTAAACATTTGGGGAGGGGAGGACTCGGTGCCAAACTGCTGTTTGTGCGGCAAGGGTTGAGTTAGGCTCCCTGGTGGACCTTACCTCGCTAGGCCCTGTTTCCTGGTTCTGTCTTTGCCCTCCAGCAGGTGACCGCTGAGAGGTGAGGATGGTGGCTCTGGGCTAGGTGGCCCTGGGGAAGGTGGGGGATCCCTGGTTCCTGGAGGCAGCCCCTTCTGAGGATGGTCATATGCCTTGTCCAGCATCCCTCGGCCACCCCTAGGGCTAAAGGGGGAAGGAGCCTGGCTGGGAGCTTAGTTCATGTCTGGGATTTCCCTTCATGTCCAGGAGAAGCAGTGAAGATGTCCAACGAGCCGCCCCCTCCTTATCCTGGGGGCCCCACAGCCCCACTTCTGGAGGAGAAAAGTGGAGCCCCGCCCACCCCAGGTAGGGGGTCACCGCTCCTGAGTCTCCCTGTTGCAGCCCCCTGCCCCCATGTCGTGGTTGGGACTCTCTAAGTGGTGATGCCTCTTCCAGGGTCATCCTGGGCCCCATCTGTGTCCCAAAGCAGTGGTCTCTGGTCCAACTCATCATGCAGAGACTACAGCTGTCTCCTTCTTTCTGCTTCTCTCTGTCCAGGCCGTTCCTCCCCAGCTGTGATGCAGCCCCCTCCAGGCATGCCACTGCCGCCTGCGGACATTGGCCCCCCACCCTATGAGCCGCCAGGTCACCCAATGCCCCAGCCTGGCTTCATCCCCCCACACATGAGTGCAGATGGCGCCTACATGCCTCCAGGTAAGTAGGGAAGGGATCTGAGGGGAGCATAGGGAGCTCCTGGCTGCCGTCTGGGCTGCACTGGCTGTCCTCAGTACAGGTGAGCATCTGCTATAGGGCAGGGACTCCAACACGCCCAACCCACTCTGGCCTGGAGCTCAGGCTGTGTGTAGAGAGGGATTGTAGGTATGGGAAGGTGGGACTGCTCTTACTTAGGCTGCTTAGGCAGGGCTGGTCCTTGGCACACCAGGACCTGACACAGGTAGGGAGGGATGCCCTGTGTGCAGGAGAGGGGCGTGTGACCCACTAGGCTTTACCTCCCTTGGTCATGGGCTTGAGGCTGAATGCCCTGTCCCTGCATGCCAGAGACACCCAGGAGCAGCGGTACCTGGCCATGTGCCTGGTTCTCTGCCATATCTGTCAGGACCCCCAAGGGGTGGGGAACCGGAAGGGCTGGGAGAATGGCCCCACTTGACTTAGGGCCCCAGCTGCAAGGCCTCTCACTGGCCCAATAGGTGGGCAGTAGGAAGTTTGAGGCCTAACCTTGCACCCTGGGCACTGTGGACTGTAGGGCTTTGCCCCAATCTCTTTGTCTAGGGCAGGTGGCAGGCCAGTGACCTCTCCGTTCCATCTTCTTTGCCATTCCAGGTTTCTACCCTCCTCCAGGCACCCATCCACCCATGGGCTACTACCCCCCAGGGCCCTACACACCAGGGCCCTACCCTGGCCCTGGGGGCCACACAGCCACAGTCCTGGTCCCTTCAGGAGCTGCCACCACGGTGACAGTGCTACAGGGAGAGATCTTCGAGGGCGCGCCCGTGCAGACGGTGTGTCCCCACTGCCAGCAGGCCATCACCACCAAGATCTCCTATGAGATCGGCTTGATGAACTTCGTGCTGGGTTTCTTCTGTTGCTTCATGGGGTAGGTGGTATGGGCACTGGTAGGGTGGGAGCTGCACCAGGGTCAACTGGCTGCCTCTGCCTCCTCCACAGCAGTCCTCAGCCTGTTTTTCCCTGTCTCTGATTCAGATGTGATCTGGGCTGTTGCCTGATCCCCTGCCTCATCAATGACTTCAAGGATGTGACGCACACGTGCCCCAGCTGCAAAGCCTACATCTACACGTACAAGCGCCTGTGCTAACGGAGCTGGGACTCAGGACTCCCCCGCCTGTCAGTCTGGCCCCCTGTGCTTTGCTCCCTGCACCTGGTGGTCACTTTCCCGCTCCCACTTGGGGCTGGGAGCCGTACCACCATCCCCTAGAAGTCCTGTCCTCTTCACCTTGCCCTACCCTGAGCAGCTGACTCTTCTGGCAAAAATTCTGTTGGGATTTAAGGCCAAGGGTCAGTGGATGGCAGGGGGCTAGCACTGGGCTTGTGGTGGTATTGGTCTGCTTGGTGTGTGTGATCAGGAAGATAAGCTGGGAGGGGTCTCCTGCTGGGGTCCTCATTCCTCCATTTCTAAACAAGGTACAGGTTCAGTCCAGACTGTTTCTCCCTGGGACCAAAAGCAGCTAGAGCAGTGACCAGTTAGTTGCCTAGGCCTATAGCCACGGTTGTTTCTGACCTGCTGGGCCGAGAATGGGTAAGTTGTGTGGAGTCAGGTGGACCCAGGTAGGACAGGGTCACAAAGCCTGGGTTTGTTTCTGGGTACTTTGCACCTCTGGGGTGCTAGAGGTGGGGCATGGTGGTCAGAAGTAAAGACTGCCAACTCTGGCCCTCAGAACTCTCAGGTATAGAAACCTAGGATGTCTAATACCCTGTCCCAGTGCCCAAGAGCTGCCTGGTGTCAGATAAAGAGGACACTGTACCTGGGTGAGTGATCAGACCCTGGTAGCTAAAAAAAGAACTTGTCCCTTTGAGTCAGTGTGCAGACCCCCTTTTTGGCCATGCTTCTGTGAACCCTGTATGCTGGGGCCGGAAGGAGCCCCTGAGCCTAGCCCCTTCCTGTCTGCCCTGTGTCCTCACTGCGTGTGGATGTGATTTCTGCCCAGTGGCTGGTGTGTCCCAGCTGGGACAAGAGATGACAGAGGCTCCCCCTTGTGGGTGCACTTGGATGTGAAGAGCCCTCTCCATGAGTTTTCTTCCTAATAAGCGCAGGCCCCTCGCCCCAGCTGACAGTCTGTTGCTGTGCCTGCTCACACTTGCTCCTGCAGGCACATTGGGCTGGGGGTAAGGAAGGTAGAACTGCCTGGGTGGACACCAGCCCTGCCCTGTCTTTATTTCCCGAATGGTTTGTTTGTGAACTTGCTCATCTGGACCGCTGTATCCTGCCACTGTCCTTCCTGGTCTCGCACTGCCACTGCATGGCCTCCTGTCACTGTGAATCGTGGCCCAGTCTCAGTTTGTAGTTCCTCATTAAATTGGCCCTTTCACTCTCCCGCCCTGGGCCTCTGCTCTCTTGCCTGGCTTCCTTCTTTTTTGAGGGAAAGAGGGTGGGACTGTAGTCAGTCTAACGGCAGGGCGGGAGGCTGAGTCCTCAGAATCTCATATCCTTAGTGCTGATGCCATGCCAACTGCCCAGGACACCACCAACATGTAAGGACCTAATTAAATCAGATTAGAGTCAGATATAAACCAGCCCTAGGAATTCCAGCTGTGACTGGGCCAGGGCACATGTTGGCCTTGGCAGTGGCTGTAAGGTCGCCTTCCTTCCTCTGATGCTGATTTCAACCATCTACACACCACAGCATCCACACATGGGATCTGCAAGCTGGAGCCTTCCTACCTGCAGGCTTGAGTGCAGCAGCAGCATCCAGCCCTGCGCAGGCGCACTCTTAAGACAGACTGGGCAGAGGCTGATAGGCTGAAGACTAACGGCACAGTCTGCACAGCCAGGTTCTGAGCCAGCTCTGGCCCTGGCCGTCTCTGCACTAACTCATCTGAATTATGAAGGTGGCAGGCTTGATCAGTAGTTTTAAGAGTTTCCCTACCTTTTAATCCTTTTTGAAATAAAACTTTTACAGATAGTAGATTCTATTAATAAAAGTATTTAAGTTCATGTTTCTTTTTAGACAATGAATTGTTTAAATACAAATATATGCTTTTTAAAAACCCTTATGTAATATTTTAAACCTTTTAAGTAGGAACCTCCAAAGTATTTCTGAGCTAAAAAATCACAGTGCTGGATACACTTTAAAGATCTTTGCAGGATGGTCAGATTGACTTTGCTTTGGAGATGAGGGGTGCTGGAGAGTAGACCAAGGGCGGGAGGTGGCTGCTGGGGGCCATCATGGAGGATGTCCACTCCCCACAAAGACATAACATGCTCTTGCTTCTGAGGGACTCTCCTATGGGGAGGTGGCTTGACCCATCCTTTGCCAGGAGGGAGGGAAAGAGGCAGTTTGCAGAGCCTACTTTATTGAGTGCTGGAGCCTTTACACAGGGCAGAGGAAGAGACAAGCTGGGGCTGAGAAGACCTCACCCAAGGGGCTAGAGGGATTCCAGGTAAGAAGGATAAGCTCCCAAGGCCTCTGAGGCTTCCACCCACACCCACCCTCACCCCCAGGGTCGAGGAGAGGCCCAGAAGTTGAACAGTAGCATCCAGCAAGGGCCCTTTCCCACAGCCTGGGCTTACCAGCTGCTCAACTCCAGCAGGGGGAGATAGTCATCCATATACTGCAAAAATACGAACTACCAGAAGCAGCCTACGGCCCAGAGGTATGGAAGACTGCAGTAGAGCTGGGTCAGGGGGCTAGGCCTGCTGCACTGTGCCAGCTGCTCCCACAGTGACAGCCTGTGCCCAGTGCAGAATGGACCATAGAGAGAATGCTGTCAGGCAGAGTCTCTAGCATCTGGCTTTTATTGGTTGCCTGCTTTCTCAAACCCAGCATTTTTTAAAAAGTGACCTGAGGTGGTAGTTTAGTCAAGGGTAAAAAAAAGGGGTAGGCCAGTGGTTGGTCGGGAGGAGGGTACCGGTGTGGCAGGATGGGTCCTTCACATGTAATACCAGGCCAAGAATCCAGCAGCCAGGGCCACACCAGTGGCCAGGATGAACTGGAGGCTGGGCTTCCTCAGGACAGCCATGGCTGTTCGGAAGGGACAGCTGGTGGCCTCAAGGGCACCTGTATGGCAGCACCAATAAAAGACATGGCATCAGTGGAGTCTGCTGCTACACATGCCCCAGAAGGGGAGCTTAGGACACGCAGACCTACCTTTGTCTTGTTCAGCAGCGTAGAAGGGGCATTTACGCATGTCTCCTTTCCCATCGTGTACAGGGAACCCATCCTTCAAGGTCTCTGTGGCCAGCATGGAGCGGGCCTGGTCCAGTTCGTTGAATATCTGCAGAAGCAGAGGACCAACTGAGCCATCTTTGGGCTGCCCACACTTTTTTTTGTTTAATATATTTTGAGATGAAGTCTCTGTTGCCCAGGCTGGAGTGCAGTGCTCTGAATATGGCTAACTCACTATAGCCTCAAATTCCTAGGCTCAAGTGCTCCTCCCACCTTAGCCTCCCAAGTAACTGGGACTACCTGTGTATAGCACCATACCTGGCTAATTTTAAATCTTTTAATGGAGATGGTGTCTCACCTTGTTGCCCAGGCTGGTCTTCAATTCCTGGGGTTAAGTAATCCCTGTGCCTCAGCCTTCCAAAGTGCTGGCATTACAGTCATGAGCCACTGCGCCCAGCCACACTCTGCTTTTAGAGGACTCCCTCCTGATAAGAGTGAGCTGGAGCAGGTGAGCTTGTTTAGGAGTGCCAACTACACAGCTAGCAGCCCTAGTGGGCAGCAGCTACACTGCCTGATGCTCCTCCCTAGCATGAGCTCTTGGGAAGTGTGGATGCTGGTACCCCAAGAAGAAGGCTACCAACTATTGGGTCTCCCCTAGGAAGTGACCAGACATGCAACCATGCCTTGCCTTCTCTGAGGTGGCTCAAGCCACTGAAACTACCACAGCACAGATAGATGAGGGCGTGAGTATGTCCCATTTCTAGCTGCTGGTTATTTTTTAGCAGGAAGCAACAGAAGAACTGGAAAGTGGGAGACTAATGCTGTGGCAGGGAAGACCCATCCTGAGTGGCCCTGGAAGGCCTCACTGGAAGCTGACAGGATCTGGGGACAGAGTAAGTCTCCCCAGTCTTAGCCTCGTCGAAAGGCTACTTGTAAATAGAGCTTACTCTCCTTGGTGACACTGGCTGTCTCTGAACTTACCAAGCAGGGCTTTTCAGAGCAAAGCTTACTAAAAAGAAAATTATCCATTCTTCAAGACCAGTATCCTGCAATGAGGAAGGGAGCCAGCTCCATTCTCCTAGACTCCTCCACGTGCTGGAGGACTCACCCTTCCCAAAACATTACCCACTGGCATCTACCAAACCAGGCCTCCATGCTGGGAACCCCCCACTGGGCCCATGAACTCTGGTGGCCACCTTCCTCTTGGCACCCTGCAGATCATCTGTCCTAATGCCACATGTACCCTCCAAGGCCACTCTGGATCTTCTACCACTGTCAAAGGTTCCCTCTTCAGCCCTGGCATCTGGCAGCCCCAATAGTACCTCCATGTTGTACTCAAAGGCCTTGTTGGCCTCCTCCACGATCTTCTCTTTGGTCTTCATGTTCAGGTCCAGGGCATTCATCCTGGCCCGGTAGAGCTGCTTGAACTGCTGTGCATTGTCCACATTCTCAAACAGGTAGAACTGGGTCCCTTCCCCTGTGCTGGGGAGTTTCAGTGCACGCTGGGCCACCTTCTTCAGCACCTGGCCCCCCGAGAGGTCCCCCATGTAGCGGGTGTACGCATGGGCCACCAGTAGCTCTGGCTCGTTCTGCCCTATGTAGTGGATCCGCTCCACGTACTTTTGGGCAGCCTCGGAGCACTGCACCTGCTCCTCCCAGTTTTCACCAAAGAAATACCCCATGTCCTTGGTCAGCGCCTCCTTCCGGTGCAGCTCCATGGGGAAGTACAAGGGGGCAAAGGCTGGGTGGTCCTTGTTGCGTTCCATTTCCTCCTCGAGGGCTGAGTATGTGAAGTAAAGTGCAGTGGTGGCCAGCTGTGGAAGTGACAGGAGGAAGCTGGCAATGCCTGAGCCTACCACATCCCAGCAGCTGGATGCAGAGGCTCAAGTGACAACCCCCAACCCCGAAGACCCAACCCTATGGCCCATTTTAATGTACTTAATTATTTAACACACGGAGATTTTGTGTTGCTTAAAGGAATCTGTGGAACATACATACTTTTGCTTCCTTGACACCACTATGTTATTCCATCTAAACCATGAGAGCCACCGTTTTTTGTTTTGTTTTGTTTTGTTTTGTTTGCCCGCTGGGGACAGAGTCTTACTCTGTCGCCCAGGCTGGAGTGCAGTGGCACAATCTCGGCTTACTGAAACCTCTGCCTCCTGGGTTCAAGCGATTCTCCTGCCTCAGCCTCCCAAGTAGCTGGGACTAGAGGTGCGTGCCTCTCCTTATTTTTTTATTTTTAGTACAGATTGGCTTTCCCCATGTTGGCCAGGCTGGTCTCAAACTCCTGACCTCAGGTGACCCACCCACCTCAACCTCCCAAAGTGCTGGGATTATAGGCATGAGCCACCATACTCAGCGGAGAGCCACAGCTTAACGTCAAGAAAGAATGGAGTATGGAGAAAAGTCCAGCTTTTCCCTCAGAGTGGCTCCAGGAGCACCTTTCTCATGGGACTAAATCCCCCACCCCAACCCCATACAACAGTCTGGAACCCAATGCAGGGCACAAACCTTAAACAGCTCCTTCTTAATGTTGCCCTTCAAGAAGTCCTTGACAAACTGGGTGTTTTCTGCCCGGTCATGTGCTTCCCTGGTCCCTTCCTTCAGGAGCTCGGAGAGGTCGACCATTCTGTGGAGAGATGGGAGGCATTTGTGTGTCAATTAGCCCCTCCCAGCTCCCCAGAAAGGACCACAGGAGGAAAATTGAGTCCAGACCCCAGGGTGACCACCTGTTGTACTGGAGGCTGGGGCTGCTCAGACACTTCACTCCAACATGAATAGCAGGGACTTGTCAGGGAATGCAGGGCAAGCAGACATTGACAGTCGGCTCCCAGGACTCAGGACACAAGGGACGACTGTGGCCTACTCCTTAATATAGTACCCACATCTATGTGTCTGTGCTGGGACCCACCCAAAAGAGCAATGCTTTGCTTCTGTTGCCACCTGGTGGCTGAGAAGACACGCATCTGTACTCCCATAAGCGTTTGCTGGCTTCTCCAGGAACAGCCTGCCTTGGAATGTGTCTCCTAGAATCCACACACCTCAGTAAGGCTGTGACTGCGGGTCTCCTGGGGCGGCCCTGCTGCCTTCCTCCCACCTTGGACCTACAGCCTCTTTGGGACTATACATGAGTAGGCCCAAGCACGGAGGGATGAAAGGGAGATAAAAGAGAGGCTGGGGCCAGGACCTTACGTTTGTGCCACTTAATGAAATTACACAGGATAAAGGTGTGCTGATGGATGGACAAGTTAAAAAACGTGTGATCCTAAAGATGGTGGCACCTGGGCAGGGTCTTAGATGTGTCCACACAGTCTGTCTACAAGAGTAAGAAAAATTTGGCCTTATCATGGTCTGTCCTCTGCTGGCTTCTTTGGGAGATTAGCTTGGTATCTCCCATGTTCTGAAAAACAGTTTATTATTAGCAATTATTTCAAGGGATAAAAAAACAAACTTGGACAATGATAGGGCTATAATGAGAGGCTAATGATGCAGAATAAGGCCTGGTAGCTCAGGTTTAGCATGAGCTGTCCTTATACAGAGTAAGGAAAGCCTGACCTGCAGAGTTATTCCAACATTTTATGGGGTAAAAGACTGTGAACAGAGCCAGCTTTGCCTCCGTTTACCCTTTCTCAACCCAGATGAGAAAACACTTAAGTTTCTAAGAAGAAAAAAGGATGACGACCATCAAATCCTATCAGCACTCCCAGCAGCAGCACCTGTCCTGCCTCCTTGGATGAGACAATGGACCAGTGGGGAGAGTCCTAAGCAGCTGAAGCTGTATGCTGTCCCTGCAGGGCCAAGCAGGTACCCAGTGGTCCACAGGTCATGGCCCATGGCCACTCCCCAGTGCTGCCAGCACACGAAACCAGGTGTGCTGAGCACAGTAGGCGCTGGGCACACCCGACTCAGTGCAGCCAGCCCCCATGGCTCACCTCATGTGGTTCTCCTTTTCTAAGGCCCCAGGGTTCTTCTCTGACTCATCTACCCCTTCTGAGGTCTCCACTTCCGCTGACATTGCTGCTGGGTGTGGCTCTTGCTGCTATCGCTCCTCTGGTCCTGCAGAGACACAAGGAGCTGGTAATGTGGCACCCACGGCAGTAACTTCCCCAAATACCTGCCGGTTCTGCTCTCCTTGGAGCCAATGTAACCAAGGTGACACCCACACATCTCAGAATTGTTTTCTTTAAAATAAAGTTCTGCCATTACTGGGACCATAGTGGAATATGGAAAAAAAAAATCTGAATATGAACAATGTATTAGGTAATAACATTGTATTGACATTAAGCTTTCTGGTTTTTTTAAATAATTGTAGTGTGATTACATAAGAGAATGTCCTTGTTCCTAAGAAATACACTTTGGGTTATTCAGAAGTAAAGGTACGCTGCCTGTAACTCCCCCATCAGATGGTTCAGAAGAGTGTGTGTGCACGTGCATAGGCTACAGGGCAGGGGACACTGGCAAGTCAGAAAAGCAAACATGGGAAAATGCTAGCAGTGAATCTGGGGAAAACATATGAGAGTTCTTTGTACTACTCTTACCATTTTTCTGTACGCTTAAAACCGTATCAAGGCTGGGTGTGGTGGCTCACACTGTAATCACAACACTTTGGGAGACCAAGGTGGACTGGAGTTCAAGACCAGCCTGGTCAATATGGTGAAACCCCATCTCTACTAAAATTTCAAAAAATAGCTGGGCATGGTAGTGTGTGCCTGTAATTCCAGCTACTTGGGAGACTAAGGCAGGAGAATCGCTTGAGCCCAGGAGGAAGACGCTGCAGTGAGCTGAGATCGCGCCACTCCACTCCAGCCTGGGCAGTAAGAGTGAAACTCCTTCTCAAAAAAAAACAAAAAGAACAACTGTATCAAAAGTTACCAAAAACAAAACCTCAAAAAGCTTAGGGGAAAAAAAAGCGTGGCAAGTAACACACATTTCCACCCCTCTGGAAGGGTGCTGAGGCCAGCTCATCCTACCTGTGAGAGGCTGGGTGCCTTGTGCAGTCTGCAGGAGTTACCAAAAAAGCAGACTGTCCTTAGCCTACTCAGGACTTTGCTAAGGTGAAGGAAATAATAAGCTGGTCAATCAGTTCCCATTGCCTGCTGCAAGGGCTGAGCCTTCGTCAGCCAGGGAAATACAGTCCCACAACAAGGCAAGCTGATCCTCCATCCCTGGGGGCTTCTGCTCAGGCAATGTTAGGAAGGCACAGCCCTATCTGGGGAAACTTCCACATGCATAGTAGCACAGTAGCACCAACAACTAATAAAGTAACTCACGAAGACAGAACTACCAACACTGGGGCCAAATCACACCAAACTGGGCCAAGGAAAAAGAACTTAAGTTACTGAGCATTTTCTATGTGTGCTATCCAGAAACGACAGGTGTCAAGAGGAACAAAGAAGTATAAGAAATGGTCCTTGGCCGGGCGCAGTGGCTCAAGCCTGTAATCCCAGCACTTTGGGAGGCCGAGGCGGGTGGATCACAAGGTCAAGAGATCGAGACCATCCTGGTCAACATGGTGAAACCCCGTCTCCACTAAAAATACAAAAAAAAAATTAGCTGGGCATGGTGGTGTGTGCCTGTAATCCCAGCTACTCAGGAGGCTGAGGCAGGAGAATTGCCTGAACCCAGGAGGCGGAGGTTGCGGTGAGCCGAGATCGCGCCATTGCACTCCAGCCTGGGTAACAAGAGTGAAACTCTGTCTAAAAAAAAAAAAAAAGAAAAAAAGAAATGGTCCTTGAAAGGCTCAGGGTACATATCTTTCCTAAGTTTCCTCTAGAGCTAGTAACAATTTTGTTGTTATTTTTTAGGATATTATATAACACATGGTTTACTTATTGTGGCCTTTTTGAACCATCTCTCTCATCTTTAGATTTAGCATCTGTACTGGGATTATTTTAGGAAGTCAAGTAATAATTCATATAGCACAATGCCTGCCATGTGGTGAGCACTCAATGAATGTTACATCATGATTATACTTTATTTTGACTGAGGCTTAGTGATGTCTGAGAACACTCAGAAAATAAACAGCAGGATGTAAAGAAAAATGGAACCTTCTCTTGACTCCAAATCAGAGACACTCTCCTCTGAAATAATGCTGATGAACTGTATGGTGCACAGAACAGTCTAGAAGAAGGTGAAAGCAGGCAGGTATCACATGGAGGGAACAGTATGCAGTGGGCTTCCTGGGGAAGGACCCTCAACACAGACAGGATTTGGGGCAGGGGTTGGGGAGGGGCTCTAGATCCAGGGAATAATATAAAGAAAGCCAGAAATGGGCAGTTCATAGATACAGTATTAGGCTGCCCATGCTTACCAAGAGGCCAAGACAGGCTTTGCAAACAGCAGAAGCAGCCCTACATGGCCTTCAGACCTTGATTTATACTTTTTTTTTTTTTTTTAAAGAACAGCTTTAGTGACTGGGTGCGGTGGCTCACGCCCTGTAATCCTAGCATTTGGGGAGGCTGAGGTGGGCAAATCACCTGAGGTCAGGGGTTTGAGACCATTCTGGCCAACATGGTGAAACCCTATCTCTACTAAAACTACCAAAATTAGCCAGGTGTGGTGGTACACACCTGTAATCCCAGCTACTCAGAAGGCTGAGGCAGGAGAATTGCTTGAGCCCGAGAGATGGAGGTTGCAGTGAGCCAAGATCGTGCCACTGCACTGCAGCCTGGCTGAGAAGAGCAAGACTCTCTAAAAAAAAATTTTTTTTAAATTAAATTAAAAATAAATAAATACAGGCCAGGCTCAGTGGCTCACGCCTGTAATCCCAACACTTTGGGAGGCCAAGGCAGGTAGACCACCTGAGGTTAGGAGTTTGAGACCAGCCTGAAAAACATGGTGAAACCCCACCTTTATTAAAAAATAAATACATACATACATACATAAAAAAATAAGAACAGCTTTGCTGTACACCCTTGAGGACCTTAAGATCCAAAATTTCTTTCTGGCTGCTCAGTTCTCAGGGAGCAGAGAAAAAGGTGCTGGGAAGAAAGCACTGAGCTGTCTAAAGGTGGGAGAGGTGCAGTAAAGGGTCCCAGAGCCTCCAGACAGTGATGGAAGCAAAGGACCAGGCTGAGGGCACACCCCAGGTACCCGAGGGACCACAGGCCCCATCCTCCTTACAAGCAAAATGAAGGCAAAGACAAGTGAAATTCATGGCCCAGGTTACCAGTATCTTGAGTATGTATCCTGCCATTTGCACCTAATGATCATGCTGCACAACAGTGATATGTGATTAAATCTCATTAACTGTGTTTTACTCAGTAATAACTGCATGTTCTGGGAGGGTGTAGTCTTGCTTAATTAAGCAACAAGTCCTTTTGCTTCTCTTAAAAATACAAAAAGGTGCAGGGCACAGTGACTCACACCTGTAATCTCAGCATTTTGGGAGGCCCAGGTGGGTGGATCATCTCAGGTCAGGAGTTCGAGACCAACCTGGCCAACATGGTGAAAGCCCGTCTCTACTAAAAATACAAAAATTAACCAGGCATGGTGACAGGTGCCTATAATCCCAGCTACTCAGGAGGCTGACGCAGGAAAATCGCTTGAACCCAGGAGGCAGAGGTTGCAGTGAGCCAAGATCATACCATTGCACTCCCGCCTCGGTAACAGAGCAATACTTCATCTAAAAAAAAAACAAATGGCTGGGGGAATGGTTCATGCCTGTAATCCCAGCACTTTGGGAGGCTGAGGCGGGTGGATCACCTGAGGTCAGGAGTTCAAAACCAGCCTGACCAACATGGTGAAACCCCATCTCTATTAAAAATACAAAAATTAGCCAGGTGTGGTGGCTTGTGCCCGTAATCCCAGCTACTCAGGAGGCTGAGGCAAGAGAATCACTTGAACCCAGGAGGCAGAGATTGCAGTGAGCCAAGATCGAGCCACTGGACTCCAGCCTGGGTGACAGAGCAAGACTCTGTCTCAAAACAAAACAAACAAACAAACAAAGGCAGAGCCAAAATCGTGCCACTGCATTCCAGCTTGGGAGACAGAGCAACACTCTGTTTCAAAAAAACAAATTAAAAATACAAAAAGGGAAGAGAAAGCTACTTCCTCTGGTACCCACTTGGGCATTTCTCAGCAGCACTCTACTTGCTTTATCTCCCTTTGGGCGCACCCAGTTTAACCTCACTCCTGTCCTCCCAGCCCACGGGAAGCCAAACTCTGGACCAGAGCCGTCTTTTCCACTGCTATAGCTCTAGGGTCTAAAAAATACTAGATTCTCAATAAATACTTGTTGAATAAAGACATCCAACAGAGAGAAAAAAAAAAAACAGGGCTGTGGTGAGAGGAAGGAAGGAGAATATCCTCGTGCATGATGCCAATAATATGCAATTTTTTAAAAACAGGAAAAAGTAATCTGGTGTCCATGACTTCAACATTTTTCTGAGTTTAATTTGAAAGAAAGCTAACAAGAAGAATTCTGAGTCCTCAAGGCAAGTAACCAGTACCATCTGTGCAGAGCTGAGGGCTGGGGACAGAGGAGGCTTCTGGGAAGGCTCAGTTAGCACATTCAACACAGGAGCCAGGGGAGGCGACCTGTGTCCATCTCTGTGGCCTAGCCATCATTCAAGGGAGTGGCCACACAGTGAGTCATTCAGGGGCCACCCTGCAATGGCAGAAACAGAACTTTTTTCACTTTCTGAAAATCTACATGTCTAGACATAGTCTGGCTGACTTCTACACTTGAATGCTAAGCTTTGCAGGAACCACTGGAATCTCTAGAAAATTGGGGGCCAAATCATAAATATAGAACCTTTTTAGACTTCGATCTCTACTGTCATCAAGAAGCTACACATTCCCAACCTGCTCCCTCTCCAAAAAAAAAAGAAGAAAAAAAGATCCTAAAATATTCCACTCTGGGAAATACGCTTCAAGAAATAGTAATAGTTATCCTAATTGGTATCAAAATAATACACAGCCATACTATGATGCTAGGAAAAAAACAACACATAGCCTAAGAACAAAGGGCATGACTGCTCAAACGACAGTAAACAATGGAATCCTGACACTGCCAGGACAAGTTGGTAAGCTGTGTTCGTGCATGGAAAAGCCTA